CATAATATTTTTCCTTCTTTACTTTCTAATTTTTTTGGAGGGTTAATTAATACATTACAATTATCAAAATTTAAAGAAGTTAATAGAAAAAAACAATTTTATAATAAACCTACAACTGCTTTTGATCCAAATAGTACTATTAAAACTAGAATCTTTCTTATGTCTATAATTTTTCGTGTTGCTTTTCCAGGACTTCACCTTTGGCTTCCAACTATGCTTGCTTCACTTATTAGAAAACCAAAATTTACTACTCAACTTCACCAACTACTTACAACAATTCATGCAGTTACACATACTCAAAGACATGAACGAAAATTAGAAAATATTAGAATATCAGCAGTAAATCCATGTGAAAGACTTTGGATAGGTGATAATATTTGGAATATTGGAGTAATCGATAATATAGATTTTAAAGAAAAAACTTTTGCTTATTCAAATATTTTTGATCAAACAAGAAATACAACACATGCAACATTACGTATGGTATTTCAATATAAAATGCCTACTTCACTTTCAACTCTTTTAAGTAATATTCTTCCTATATCTGATATTTCAACTTTAAAACTTTGGGGTGAAAATATTAAAGCTCAACAATTTATCTCTGATTTTCATCAAGTTTTTAAAGATTTTTTACAATTTTCAAATTTAGAAAATACTTTTATATACTCTCAAGATTTTGATTTACCTAATATACATCAACAAATTATTAATAGTGTTGAATTAGGATGTCAGTTACCACCAGCTAATATTGTTATTTTAGAAGCTGGAAATAAACCAAGTTCAAATGAAGGAATATTTGAAGCATGTGATATGTTTTTACAAGATTTTAATTTAAATAATAATAAATATATAGATATAGTTTCTGATGAAGCAATATTTCGAAGAACAAAACTTTATCTTGAAAATCATATGCATACTAGAATAATTCTTGGTCAATGGCATACAAGTAAAGACATGTGCAGTGTTCTTATTACAATTTTTTCAGGATTTGGTATTTTTAATTTAGCAGCAGCTTTGGGAACTAAATTTTTAGATAAATTAGAAGCAATAGTTGATTATCGATCTACTTGTCGAGTATTAGAAATGATTTGGTTTGTAGTAGGAGTTGCACTTCATATTCACTTAAAAAAATACAATAAAACAATTGAACAAATAATGAATGAAGACAATAATTTATTAAAGACTTGGTATCTTTATTTTAAGTGGGCAGGATGGTGGAAAGCACATCGAATTGGAATTCGAATGGGAAACTTTGAAATGCAACATGAATCACTTTCTGCATTTGCACCACTCTTTCCTGTTGCTGGTAAACTTAATTATGCTTCATCAGTTACTTTTTATTTGGCACATTTAACAAAACATCCTGAATTAAAGGAATTATTAAAACATGCTTGTTCAATTAATATTAATCGAGAAAAACATTTTTTTGCATTTGATGAAGCTTTAGAGACTTTTGGAGTTAAATATATTAAACAAAATATATCTGGAAATCCTATTAATACAGAACAACTTAAAAATCAGATCAAAGCTGTTCAAAGTGAAAGGGATCGAATCAATTTATTTTTATTTGAATTTTTAGATGATAATGTTACATATAAAGGTGATCGAGCAGTAAAATCTCGTAAAGAAATTACTTGGGATGTAATAAATCAACTTATTATAGCATTTGACAATCCAATGGATAATTCTATTTTTAAAGATATTTCAGGATTATATAATATGACTGCAGAATGTACTTTTGAAGGATGGACCAGATTATTTAATTGTTATTCAATAGGAGAAGAGCGTCTTTATGCTATATTAAAGCAAGATGTTTTAAAAAGTGAAAAACGAATTGCAACAGGCAGAAGAGCAAAAAATATTGGACATCATACAATAGCAAATATGAAAAAATCTAATAATAATACTAGAGATAGAGTTCAAAATAGAAAAAGAGAACAACATTTATTGTCATCAAATATATTTACAACTCAATCTTTAAATTCAAATACTATTGTTTTTAATGAATCACAACATTCTTTTAGTATGCCTTCTAATTCCAATAATTCTTTTAATCAAAATATTAATAATTTGAATAATAATTTGCAAAATATACAGTTAAGTTCTCATACAGAAATTCAAAATCTTTCTAATATACAAGCTATTCATTCTCCTTCAGGTCCAGTTGAAAATCCCCGCCCAACCAAACGTATCAAAAGAACAACTCATATGCAAGAATTATCATTTCTAGAACCACTAGTGAATAATACAAGTGAAGAAAATATTAGTAATGCTATTCAACAATTAAACAGTTGGAATATAGAAAATAATCATACTGAAAATATGTGGAATAGACAACGCGTAATTAAGTGGGTACAAACACGAACCCGTAACGATAGGTTAAAAGAGAAACAGGAACAAAATCATTAAGTCTAAGAATAAATAATTAATATTAATATTTTGTATTAAATACATTTTATAAAAAGACATTGCTATTTACTTACCATTATTAATAAAGGATTTTACATTATTGCCCATTTCTCAACAACACACATATAAACCTTTAACCAAATTTTACAATAATACACCTATATTGACAGTCAACTCTTCGTTTAAAAAACTTTGCGAAAGAACTTATATTGGCAGAAGGATTTCAGTTTAAAGGTCAAAAAATCATAGAAAAACCTTATATATCGAAATATTTAAGGAAGCGAGATATTTTAACGGGATTAGTGCCATTTGAAAGTTCATATGTACTACTTTTAGTGTTGTTATAAAAAAAAAAGTATTTTGTTAAAGTCTTTGTCGTGTTCGAACCTAATGAAGATAGGCAAATTCACGTAGTACAAAAATTTTAATTAGTGATTGGCGTTGCGCTGGAAATGACCAGTGACTGATAATCTATGGCTTATCCGCGCTTAGTGACCCACTCTTTGAAATCCATGATAATAATAATTTCTAATTGAAAAAGATTAATATTAATTCCAATTCAAGACAACGCGGAAAATGCACATGTGCGAAAATTCTAATGGGTAGTGCGCAAATATGTTTTTTACAATGATGTGTGGAAATACACCAATCATATGCATACGCACGTGACCGCACTACCTTAATAAATCCGAGTAATAAATTCAGTCACGAAAACATTATAGTTTTGAAAAATAAAAAATAAAAAATCTTAAAATTGACCAGCAAATTTATTTACATATAAATGAGGAAATAATATAAAAATAAACAAATAATAGGATAAAGAAAAAATAGGATAAGACAAGAAAGGAAAGGACAAAATAGGATAAGACAAGAAAGGAAAGGACAAAATAGGATAATACAAGAAAGGAAAGGACAAAATAGGATAATACAAGAAAGGAAAGGACAAAATAGGATAAGACAACAAAAGAAAAGAGAAATTGGATAAGACGATAAAGAAAAAGAACAAAAAAGGATAAGACAAGAACGAGAAGAAATGCAAAAGAAGAAAGAGTAAAGAGAAGAGAAAAAGAGAAAAGAAAAGAGAAAATAAAAAATAAAAAAAAGAAAAAAGAAAAGTAAAAAAAATGAAAGAAAAAATGGGGGGCAACTATTATTATAGATGGGCAAAATTGTATGACTTGGTTCAATAAACGGCTTTTTTGCTTTTAAAAATAAGCCGAGTAAGAGAAGTTGTCATAATGTGATTATATTGTTGGTGTCGTTTAAGACAATGAACGAGATTGATAAAATTTATAAAGTTTAAATTAAACATTTTTGTTTTAATGTATTAGATTTTTATTTGATTGGATTTGGATTGTAAGATTTGTTAGTTGATGGGAGAATGAAAAAAAGTTACATTTTATACAACTTATGACATGACACATGATATTTTGTTTCAAATGATGACTTTTTAAGGCATTTCATTTTGATATCATAAAAAGAGAATCATTTGACTTTTTAAAAAATTCGTATTGTTCTCAATGCATTTGTTGATTTTTGATAGATTTAATCTATAAATATTATTGGAACGATAACATTTTTTGTCAATTAAATTTTTTATGAAAAAAAAGATAAGGAAAGTAGTAAGGGTCACGCGGAGGTTATTATTTATTTATTTTCATGTGTTCAACTAGTTGCTCTATTAAATTGTCGCGGTCAAGAGTTTTTAGATTTATAAAAGGCTCTTTTAGTATAGTATTAAAAATTACATCTGCGGGGTTAAAGACTAGATCGTCTAATGAAGTTATTTCTATATTGTTGTTTTTAGAAGAAGACCTTAATATATCGAAATCGCTCCTTTATTTTTTGTGATTTTGGAGGGATTACATTCCGGCATGTTTAAAATACATTATCCGGAAACATAAGGCACATTTACTAAAAAAATAAAATAAAATAAAAAGAAAGATAAGTTTGATGTAACAAAAAAAAGTTGATAAAATATAAGAGTTAATAACCCGTTATTACCTTTCTTTTTGCAGTGATATATGTCTAAACTGTCCCACCTTAAGTCCCAACAATGGTCCCATTACAACATTGGCTTCTTGAGAATAAGAGACCAACTTTGTATCCTAAAATAAAATATCGTGTTTTAGTACGTGATTTTTTTTTTTTTTAAATAAAACCTTACCATTGGGGGAAGGTTCATAAAAAGTTTTTTTGTTTTTTTTTTTGTAAAATCTTTTCAAATAATCGCAATTTTATTTTTTAGGGAAACGCGGAGTTTTTATAAGCAATTTAGTGTCACATGGATTTTATCGATGTCATTGTAAAACGTCACATGGCCATCACGTCTCCTGGAAAATTGGAAAATTGTAGCCGGATTTATTTGCCGGGTCACATATACGTAACCGGACTAATAGTCGGAAATTTATACCGGATTTTACAACTTACCTGACGCGCCACCATTAAAGCTATAATTACTTCCTTTATAATAAATTAATAAACTTCAGCTTCACCTAGACTTTCTATTGACAGTGTTCCTTTCACCTAAAAAGCGTTTTGTTATCAGTAAAAATGATCTTGAATAATTTTAAGTCATATTTTAACTGGAAATGGGTCCGTTTCATAAGGTATAATATATACAGTATATTTTGTTTCTTGGAGCTTTGTTGCGTCCCGAGATTCTCTCTAATCATTAAAATTTAATTTCTAAAGTCATTTTCTGCTGTCATCGGATCAAATGGTTCGGGATATTAAATGTTATCGAGTGGGCAAACCAAATTATCAGAACTTATTCATTCATCACAGGGAGTGAAATCTGAATGCTTGCGGTGTATTTTGAAGAAACTCTTGACTTGATAAATAAAATTTTAATTTCAAAAAAAAAAAAAGAAAAGAAAAGAAAATTGAAAACACTTAAACATTAATAACACATGATGTTCAACAATATTATAGCCTGGTTCGGATAAATTGAGATTCTACCACAATCTCAATTGGTTATCTCGCGTCAAGCTTTTCGCAATAATGCTAGCAAGTATTTCATAATTGGGCGACAAAGCATTACACTGAAGTTACAAGCCTTTTGAAAGAAAGGGGGATCGATTTGGATCATAATCGATTTTCTAATTTTGCAGGTTCCTTTTTATTTATTTATTAATTTTATGTTTTTCATCATGAGGTTATGATTTAATGTATTAACAAAATTTTATGCTTAATTTAATGATTAGGGAGATGATGAATTAATATCACAGATGAATGGACTCTTAGAATATATTGAAGACATTATCGGAACTTCTATATAAAGTCTCTCTTGAAGAAGCAAATGAAAAGGGTAAAACATTGGATGAAGAACGGTCAGAAAATTAAATCGTGTTAAAATAGTTGAAAAGGAGAAACAAAGTTTAGAGGTAACATATTATTAGTAAATCGCGTTTGTAATCATATTAAATAACAATGATGATTCGACCTTATTGAATTGAAAGGTCAAGAATAAAAGAAGCAGAAGATTTTCTCTGAGATGAAAGCACGTTAACTTCGCCCTTTATCAATAAAAAATTGCTAGGGTGTAAGATTAATACTGAAATATCAACTAGGCTGTGGTAAGTCATTAGATTTAATAACTTATTCAGACAAGTTAATTTAATATGGCAATTAATTATTTATTAATCCTTAGAATAAATTAAAAGATCAACAAAGAGAAGAAGGAGAAAAGCATGTTCAAATAATAAAGATCTTGAAAATATATACAGAGATTTCTGTTAATGCCTTCCAGGTAAAATAATTATAATAATTTACAAATAAATAAACTTTCATTAATTTGATAATTGTGCTTATTTTAATAAGCAACTTGAAAAAAGAAACAAATGAAATTCTAGCAGAATTGGCAAATTATGTGAAAGAAGTTATTAACCTGAAGAAAGAACGAAACACGCCAATTTCTAAACATAAGAAAGTGACAATGGCAATTTCTATAGTAGATATTATTTGTCTATGTTATTTTGATGCACAGATATATTCGAGAAATACAATAAGATTTTTATTATAAGATCGTCATGGACTTTCGGAAGCGAAAACAGCATTACGATTTAATGAAAGGATTTGAATAATCGAATGGGGGCTTGGAAATATCTTTAGAGCCCAAGAAAGTGAACTTGAAAAAAATCAGGGAAAGCTTAACTGGTATGTGAATCGATTATTTTAATCTAATTTGGTAAATATCTTTTTTATATCGTAATTGAATTTAAATTTAAATAAAGGCAAGTCAGAAGTTTATTCAAACCAAATTGAAGAAAAGAAAAGAGAGCTTGCACCTTGGTTAGAGAAAATCAATGCAAGGCAATCTTATTGATGTTAATCAATCTGTTTAAAAGAGAAATTTGATTCAATAGAACAAGATCTTAAACAAGCAGAAGGTGCTGTCACAATTAGAGATGAAGGTACCGTTATAAGGTATCATTGCTTTTTTGTGATGATTTAATTATAATTGAACTGCTTTTTAAATCTTATCTAAAAAGAATCAAATCAAAGACATAAAACTAGTAATTCAACAATTGGACACTGATTTGAAGGTTATTATTTAACATTTAAATTAATAAATTTAGTATTTTAAGATTCTCATAAATATCTTTATTACTTTTAGCATTACCTTAATCAGCAAGAACTTTCCAAGTCTAGTCTTGCCGATCTCGACAAAGAGAAGATGAGGCGAAAAGACTTTTAAATTCTTCTCAGTCTAGAGGACAAATTCTTAGCAGCTAGTGGTCAACGGAGCGGAACGTTCTATAATTTGTTTTACTGAAAATCTTATTTATTTAATTCTTTAAATTAGGATCGTTTGGGTAACCTTGGTGTCATTGATGATAAATACGATGTCGCGATTTCAACTGCCTGTCCTGCATTGGACAACATCGTAGTTGATTCTATTGAAGTTGGACAAACTTGTATAGAAATAAATACCTTAAAAGAATCGATTTAGGTTGCGTCACTTTCTTTCTTTCGAATGAACTGCCTACCATGGACATGCACCCGATACAAACACCTGAAAATGTTCCCCGTCTTTTTGATCTTATTAAGCCGAAAGATGACCAGCATTAATAGTGTTACAAAACACTTTGGTTGCCCAAAAGCGAATAGGTTCTACTCGATGGCGTAGTGACGTTAAGTGGTCAAATTATTGATAAACCTGGAACTATAAGCGGCGGAGGTAACCAAACGTTAAAGATGCTATGAGTCAAAATTTTAATCGGACATAACATCCGAGACAATAGGAAATTGGAAAAAGACCGTAGCCACTTTGAAATGCATTAGAGAATTAAATGAAGAAATTAGATCTTTAGAACCACAATTTCAAGAGAAAAAGAATGAACTTTCTTAATTAGAGTTTGGGCTATCGAAGTTAAAATGGGAAATAGGCGCGAGTGCTTGCGCAAACCGTATTCTCTACTGAAAAAAGAGTAGCCGAGTTACGGTATGCATAACAGTATTTTACTAATAAATTCTTGTTAAGGGTTAATAGTAATCATTTTTTTTATTTTTTTTTTTTCTATAAGGCAAAAAAAAAAATATCCAAGTAAAGATGATACTAGGCGTATGGGACAAATTGATCATCTAACACAAGAGTTAGATAGATTGAAAGACAACTTCTAAAATTGAAGAGAAGATTAAGATTTTGCAAGTATCAAAAATCAAGAAAAGAAAAATATTTATTTATAATATATTAACTTACAAATAACTAGCTTTAGCTTACAATTCAGCTAAAAAAAAGTAGATTTTTGTAATTATATGAAATATATTATAAAGTCAGTTTATAATTTTTTTTCTAATTCTAGTAAAAGATTAGATACTTTATATAAATATCAAGAAATATTAAAATATTCAATTTTGAAAATTAAATAAATTTATAAAGTTAAATGGTTTTTAGATATAAAGCTGTTAAATTTTTATTTTTTAATTAATTCTTTAATGAATACATTATTAGAAACAATAATTATAATTTTTAAAAACAAATTTATATAAGTATTGGTCTAGTAAAAATCAAAGACTTAGCTGGTTTAAATTAAAAAATCAAATTTTAACAATTATTTGAAAAAAAATAAATTTTTCAAAAATGGTCTTTATAATATAAAAATATAAAATTAAATTTTACAAGCATATAATTGAAGACATTAGCTTTCTTTTCTTCTATTATTATTAAATGAATACTATATTTCATATATTTAATAAGAATAATAAATAAAAAATATAAAAGATTTTAAAGTAATAAATAATAAAAAAAAGTGAATTTTATATTCTTTTTACTATTATTATAGATCAAATTTTTATTTTCTAAAATATTAACCTGTAGAATATGGTTATTATAAAATCTCAAAATTATTTGATCAGGTCTAAATCCTAGCTTTTGTTAATTATATCTTTATATACAAAGATTGTAATTTAAAATTTCTTACTTTTTTAAATCTTTTATGAGATATTAAATAGGATTTTTTAACAAAAAAATATCTAATATAAATCCTATTATTGAATTAACTCTTAAAAAAATTTAAAAATTTTTTTGAATTATGATAATAATAAAAAATTATCATTTAAAAAAAATTTAAATAAATTTTATTAAATATAATAAAAGAAAATAATTGTAATATTGGCATATATCAATTAATTTGAAATGAGTATTATAAAGTAAATTTAATTTTATTTATATTAATAATTATTTTAGAAATTCAAGAAAGATTTTCTAATAGACTTTTAATCAATTTAATAAAAATATTTAATTATATAAATTAGCTAAATGGTAAATAAGAACTTATAAAATATAGTAAAAAAAAAAAATAAATATTTTATCAAAATTTTATAAAAAAAATTTTATTTGTAAAAAGTGATTTGGATATAAGTAATAATACATTTAAAATTTAAAATATAAAAATTAAAGTATTATTTCTAATATTATTTAAATGTTATTATAATACTTTTCAAATTAAGAATTATATATGCTGTTTTATTTTTATCAGTTAATTGTAAATATAGATTTTTAAAGCAAAATTTGATAAAAACTAATTAAGAAATTCTTTAATTAATAAAACATCATATTTTTAAATAATGGTTGATTTATAAAAAAAAGATTTATCTAAATTGATTTTTAATAAATCATTATAAATTTGAAATAATATATGTAAAAGAAGAATTTATTGGTTAGTAAAATAATTTTATTATAAATAATTTGGTTTATTCTAGATTTTAACTAGTAAAACAAATTTATTTTTAAATTCTTGACCAATTCAATTTCTTTTTTAAGTACTATACTAAATCTAGATTTACTTTAATTTAAATTATTATATAAAACTTAAAATTTTTGATATTTTATACTTTTTTTTTTTTATTATTAATTAATGTAATATATATCATATTAAAAATTGTTATTAAAGATATATGTTTATAGCTATAGAAAATATTTAAAGAAATATAAGTAAAGTTAAGTTTTATTTAGATTTAAAAAATTAATTACTGTGTTACATTTATAATATTTTAGCCAATTAAAATCTCTTTGATAAAAGCGTATTGTTTACATTAGCACGTGATAATCGCAATAACAAACGCGCTTTTGTTTATTTATTTCAAATAATTTTCGCTTAAATAGTTTGCCTTCTTTTGCTGCTTTAAAATCTTTACACATTTATTTCTAATAACTGATGACTGAACGACATCCAATAAACTATATTTTAACTGTTCTATCAATACCCTTCCAGCAAAAAGGACTATATAATAAAATAATGGAGTTGGGTTGGAATCATACTCACACTTTCCACAATCATATACACAATACTCCCACTTTCCATTCACCAAGTCAATATTAAAGAAAATAAATAAAGAAAGAATAAAGGAATTAGAAAAAAATTCCTGTTGCAAAAGAAGATGTTGCACAATATAACCTTGCATTATCGTTCGAAAACGGTGAATGTCGGACGATACTTTAATCGCTTGTCAGAGCAATTGTTGAAAAACGAATATGCGACGAAGGATTGTTGATGATGAAACAAAAACGTTTGGCAAGGACGAACGATATATTGAACAAGATCATATTCACTTGAAGAAGACTTTATCATGTAGTAGTTGACTTATTACCTTTATTATTCCCAACCACCTTTTGAAATCTCCATTTACCATATTCCCCAAGTTATAGATATAACAATTTAAAGTCCATGTTTGACTTTTTTGTAAATCCTCTTTTATTTTTTGAAATCTATTCTTTCATGTAGACAAAACTTTCGTTAATAAATTAATGCTTCTGAACAACATTTTTATTTTTTGAAATATAAATGAGCACATATTACTACCAGTGATGTGCACTTGGAAGATTGGAAGCACTCTTGGAAGCACTTTTGGAAGGGTTGGAAGCATAATACTCTAATAAATTCATTTGGATTGGAAGCTTCCAATCAAATTTTATACATTGGAAGCATAAAATGCACATCACTGAATACATGTATGTGCACCTTCGGCCGGTAAAATTTTGAAGATTATTAATGAATGATTCATCTATTATGACTAACCATTGAGTATTAATATGTAAAATTCTTAAATGGGAAATCTAATAGTTATCTTTTTTACAGGATTTTATGAAAGAAATTAAAACGCCGAGCTCCGCTCCGGTTATTGGGTCATTCCAAAAGTTAAAATTCCCGTGTTAAAAGTTTATTATTACACGCTCATTAGGATTGTTATGTAAAACATACAAATTAATAATTAAAGAACTAAGATAAATCGGAGAATAAATTCCATTTTGTCATAATAGGATGATTCAAACTCACGTGGTTCATCTTCACCACCATCTAAATGATTTTCAATATCCAACATTTAAAACCAGTGATCCATCCTACTTCAAATCAATTAAGTTTAAATTAAGTTTGATAATTACATAATTTTTTAAATTAATTAACCGGTCATTTTAACGGCACTTGAAAATTAACCAAATGACCAAGGTCACTGTTTACTTTAAACGCCACGGAGTTTCAATTACGTTATAATCATTTATGGTGAGATTATTTTCTTTTGAAAAGTTAATTGGAAGGATGATGTTATTACTCACAAAATGAGTATCTATTGCATGAAAGATCTCGGGAAAATCTTTGATTTATACAGTGATCATCAATACATGACCCATTTTTCTGGGGTATGGCGAATGCTTTTTATGTAGGTTATCTTACAAATCTTCGAATTTTAAGGTTGAAACACGTGTTAACTTTGAACACTTCTTAATAAAGGGAAACCAAGACCAGAAAGCCGGCCGAATGTTTGAATAAAAATGGCAACAATTTTTAAGCCACAAATGAAACTTTGATGGTCTTCAGAAAACGTAAATGAATTAAATGAAGACACAAAAGCAGAGAGAAGACGAATTAAAGGAATGAAAACGTTTAAAAGGGCGGACCTTGATCTTCTTTACAAGTTTAAAATTTTGTAATTAATTATTCTTTACAAGTTTATTTTCAAAATTCTGAAATTAATTATTATATGTAATGCTTAACGTAAGTCCCATTTATCAACGACTAAATGCTTATTTATTTTATTAACTCTGCTTTTCAATAATTTGTAGGACCCAGAAATAATTGCAGCAATTATTGGAGGTGGAGCGACTATCATGGCAGCCATTATATCGGCAGTTGTATATTTACTAACGACTAAAAATGGATCGAAATTTTTTATCAAGTTTTTTTTCGAAATGATTTTCGTCTTCATCTGTCCACCTTTTCTTGTCTTTTTTTTTCTATTATCCAATTCTTTTCTTGTATTCCTATATTTTCTTCGTTTCCTTCTATGCTTGTATTTCCTCATAATCCTTTTCCCATTCCTTACACTTTCAAATATGTATTCTTATCATTCTCCTTCACCATGTTCTCCTATACGATTCCTTCTACTCTGTCACCTTCCCTTCTGCTTCCTCTTCTTCCACCCTATTGCTCATTATCGTTTTCTTAGATGCCAGAACTAATGGATTTCAATTCACCTGACGTTTTTGTCAAAATGAAATGTAAGAAGGTACTAATAATATTCAGGAACAATTTCACCGAATGTATAGATTTTTTTCACCTAGATTTTTTTAATTATTATCTTAAAATATTAAAATTTTTGATTAAATGTTGCAAAAAAAATGTAGATAATCATAAGTTTTTATCACAATTCAAGTTGTCAGAATGAAACTTTTATTTAACTTGCGATTTTCTGACATTTAATGTCAGACAATATCCCCGACAGGACAAAATCCCGACAGCCTAATGCTGGTCAATTTATCACATGCACGTGCATAACTCTGCATAATGCTGGTCAACCTGTCGGGCAAATGTTCTGTCAGGATTTTGTTCTGCTTGATATAATTCGCGTGTTTTTCAGCTAATTGTATCAATGACAATTACTTAAAAAATTTTTATCTTTTACTTTATAGGGTTAATAATTACTAATCATTAAGATGAACCACCTTTTGCGTTAGGGTAGTCCCATATGATATTTTATTAAAATTTGATGTAATTTTTATTTCCAAATTTTGTGAAAATATTATTATCATTATTGTATATTCATATAAATTGTTAGCATTGTTTAAATATTAATAAAACACAAGATGGTTTTGAATCTTGGGAAAAATGCCACGCGATTTAATTAATTCATCTTTTTGTGAATACAAATTTCGATAATCATTGTGCGACAGAATATTCTCAAACCAAATGTTTTCAACAAACCTTTGAAGAAATGTCTGTAGTTGACTATAATTGTTTTCTGATTTTCGGAATGAAAAAAACGAATCTAAAGGAGCACTATTACATGTTATAAAAATTCTTCCGATTTGTAGTGTTAAAAAGTCCCGTGGGACCAGGTCCTATGAAGTTCGATCCAGTTAAAAGTCCTTTGAACTATAGGACTGCGGTTCTATATTAATTGGAACTTGCAGTCCTAAACTGCGGTTCCCATTTAAATTGGGACTTGCGGTTCTAGAACTACGGTCTTAATACAGTATATATAAAATCGGATTATTGAATTCAATATTAACCATAATTGTTCAAAAAGAACGTTTCTCCTTGAACGATGATGTATCGTTCTAGTTGAATGATGATGTATCATTCTTCTTTGATCGATTCATCTAAAATTTTTTTTTTTTTAATATTGACTATAGTTCTAGGACCACAAGTCCCAATTTATAGGGACTTTGAACTGGACCGGACTGGATTATGAACATTAGATCTTTGTTTCCTCTAAAAAAAAACTTAGTTATTGGGAAATGAAGTATCGATCCGATCAGCATTATAAAAAAATTTTTTTCTCTATCTTATTATATCTCTACATTATTGTGATGAAAAGAAACAAAATATATTTTGATAAGATGGTTTTTTTTTTAATCTGAACAAATATCAATCCAAATTGTTTTGGTAATCTTTGTACGAGATTATTATTTTTTTTTTTTTTTTTTTTTTTTATAATGGAAATAAATTTTTTTTATTTTAAAAAAATGGAATAAATAAAGAATTATTGAACACATAATTTAATTAATTTTGGTGTTTTGTTTAATTCGTATTTACTTTCTTTTGAAAAATTAGATTATCATATCCAAAAAGATCAAAAAATAACGGAATAGTGTTTTTTGACAATTTATTATTTTTTTTTTTTAAAAAAAAAAAAAATAATAATTCTCGCGACCTTATACTAAAATCACGCAAATTAATGTATTAATTACTGATTTGGGAAGGAACCGGAATCTGTTCGGGAAATTGTTGAAAAAAAAATATTTTTAAGGAAAATTTATTATACCATTGTAAACTGCTGATCACGCAATTGTGTTACAGGACTTGCCTTTTTAAGACTAGATTGAATTCTATAAGAAGGATGATTGTTAAGGGCTGAAGTTTAAAACAATAGTAGTTTGAAATTTTTCTCTTCGTGAAAAAATCAACATCACACCTTCTAAATAATAGAGAGAGAATTAATGACAAAATGGTAGAAAACAACCCCGAAAATACTTATAATGACTTTGAAATGAATCTCACTCGAGAGTTACAAACCAAAGAGCAAAGAATTAAGGAATTAGAGCAAAGTAAAATGATTGCTGACGAAGAAAATCAATTGATACTATCCTTTTTATGGAATGAAATAGGTGGTGAGGGTTTAGATAATTTAAGAGAATTATTAGCAGGACGGAAACTCCCTGAGATATTAGCTGAATTAGATGACAGAAAGAAAGAATTATCAAAATTAAGTTCTCAATTCGAATCTTTAGAAGAAAAGTTTAAAGAGAGAGAAGAAGAAGTCAAAGCCAGGCAGCAAGAAACAATTAATGTTTTAGAAGAAAATGTTAGGGAAAAAGAAGAAGAAAACAAGGACAAGCAAAAAACTATCAATGATTTGAAAAAAAAGATTAGGGAGCGAGAAGAAGAAGTTAAAACTAAGCAAGAAATTATTAATGGCTTGGAAAACAAGATTGGAAAGCGAGAAGTAAAAATCAACACAAGGTTTCCACCTTTCAGCTATATCATCAAAATCATGATCATCGTCTTCCTCTTGAAATATTACTACTTTTACATCTTGTTCAGCGTCATCATTCTTATTTGCTTCAACTGGTACCTCGGAAAATTGTAATAAAGTATTCTGTAATGACCAGCTTTTCAAAGACAAAGACTATTAGTATTACAAATTTGAATTGGAAAAATTTACTAATTAAAGAAAGTTATAATTGATAATTAATATCAAAATTAATATTTTATCAGCAAATTTAAATCAATAATGTAACCCATTATTTAATTAATCAAATTGCGTTCAAATTGAGAATATAGTGGTTTTAACTCATGAGATTATCAATAATGAAAGTCATCTACATTTCATTCATTCATTTTTTTTTTAATGCGTGGACAAATAACTGATAGGGTGGTTATATGGAATCTGGAATAAAATTTTTGATTTTTTTGCATAATAATTTTTTTTTAACAAAAAATCTGTTTCGACTGATTTTGCCATAATAATTAAACTTTATTTACATATTAATCAAATTCTTATACTACATTTTCGATGACATTGATATTTCTTTCTATTACTTTCATCATTGACATATATCTTGAAATCTATCATCACCTGTTGAATAAAATTAAAGCTTTTGAGGTTACACGACCTAATACATCATGACATTTAAGGTTGCCGGGCAAAACCCGGAGGCATCGAAATCGAAACCTGTCGAAGCCCGTTGAAACCATCGAAACCCTTAGAAATCGAAAGGTTTCGACTTTTGCCAAAGTAAGGGTGTGTGATAGAGAATGTAAAAAAATAAATGTGACCGATCCGAACGAAATTTCAAATCATGGCATTATTAATGAGTCATGAAATATAACCAAAATAATGAGGCTACAATCAAAATGACCATTCTTAGTTAAATGTATATAAATTTATATAATAAGTAAATTTGTACTTTTCATATTAATTTTATCAAAAGGGTTTATTTTGCGAAAAATATCGATATACTAATTT